TAAGTAGAGAGATCCGGTCCTCTCTTAGGACTCGAGTCGACGGAGACGACAGTAACCAATGATCATTACGGAAGACATCAGTTTTCCAAGGCATCCAGGGACGCCGTAATGATTGGAAGAACTCTGAAGCTTTCTGCTTAGACAGCTTAGGGAGGACCGGAAGAAACACTGGACTGAAATAGCGACCTCCATGGAGCAAGATTCAAACGTTGTTAGTACTCGCAAACTCTAACAACTTATCCGCAAAGTTATTGGTAAGTTCTCCTCACTGAATGACTCAGTTCTTGATATGAATAGCGGCTTTATTGTTAATAGTTCGGCCAGGGTCAAGTGCTGGCGTGAGCACTTCCTCAATTTTGGTAACGAACCCAGCACCTCCTCGTTCTCACCTGTAGCGGAATCCCCTTCCTCTCTTACCCATCCAGTCATGTGACCTCCTTTCTGAAGAAGTCGCCGACGCTATACAAAGGCTGTGCAAAAACAAGGCACCTGGAGAGGACGGCAAACCCACTGAAATCTTAAGTCTTGTGTCGACATACTGAAGCCTTGGCTCCATGAAGTGATTGAAAAAGCATGCAAGGAGAGGAAGCCGTCCCTGGTGACTGCGGCTCAGGCATCCCTGTACCTATTCACAAGGGAGAGAAGACAAGAGACGAGGACTACTGCGGTATGAATCTGGTCGATATTGCTGCGATGATATTCGCTACTGTCCTTCTCAGGCGATTCTAGACTGTGCGTGACTGTGGGATGAGATTCAATGGAGTCGTATTCCGCGTTGGGCGTGGATGTGCTAACACTGAGACGCATCATGCTATTCTGCCATAGCTACCAGCAAACAACGATCGTCTGCGTCGCTGATTTTGCCTTCGCGTTCGATTCCGCCTATCGTGAATCCCTATGGCGGGTAATGGTACTTGATGGGGTACCACCAAAAATCATCGCCATGATCAAGGCCTACAATCGATCCGATTCATCAAAATCTTTCGGAACCGTTCGATGAGACTGCATCTTTTCACCCATTCTGTTCAACTACGTCATTCACTAGTCTTCCCCGTTGGCCCTACATAAAGCGGACGATTTTGAGCCTGCATCTGAAAGCTGACTGAATGATCTCGACTACGCCGGTAATATCGCTTTACTAGATTCAAGCTTTGGCCATCTACAATCAACGGTATTACAGGTGAACGAGGTCGCTAAATCGGTCAGTTCGTCCATAAACACTGGGAAGATCAAGTGTTTCCATGCTGCATGTCTGTCCAAGCGATGGAACTACTCGAGATTGACGCCTGCCAACTTGAAGAAGTAGAGAGTTTTAAATACCTCGGAATGAGGTTGCTGTCGAATGGATTGAGTGAAGATGGCATTGTCTTCCAAAATGATGCAGTTCGTAGAGCTTTCTCCAGCCTCAGAACTTGCCTGTGGACACGGCGCGACATCTCCATCGCTACAAAGATGCACGTGTATCGTGCATCTTTTCGGTCTGTCCCTCTTTATGGCTATAAATTCTGGGTTAAACGTGTGAAAGATGAAAGAAAACTGGAGGTATTTGACCATCACTGCTTGAGTGAGTGGAGCACATCGACTTCGTCTCAAGTGAGGCAGTCCGAACTTGCTGTGACAACATCCTAAGCATATGCTGAGTCATTCAAGAAAGACGATTGAGGTGGTTTGGACACGTTCTTCGTCGTGAACCTCACGATCTCAGTGGTAGTGCCCTAAATCCGACATCGAAGAGGGAGTCAGCTCAAGAGCTGACTTGACTCAGTCCGTCAGGACATGGAAGTGGTTCTTCGACCTTCGGTATTCAGTTTCCGGCGTTGGCCAAGAGAGCTGACTGAACTGCC